ACCTGAGCACGTGAGAACCACGGGCTGCTCAGTTGGTGAGTGACCCCGCGGGCACTTGAATGGGCTTTAGAACCTACATATTAAAACGTCTTTTTAACTCTGCCCTTTCACAGGAGAATGGTACGTCATGCATTTGCCAGACTTCCTCCCTTAAGTGCCTTTTTTATTTTGTCTGTCTCTTTCCCATTCATGTTTCCTCAGAAAGGGGGTAAGAACAATGAGATTTTTTTAAACGATCTGAAATCTTTTGTTTGCCAGCTACTCTACAGCACTGGGTTTTAATCCCCTCTGTGCATCAGAATCACCTGGTGCACTTTTTTATTGTTGTTAAGCCTCACCCGAGGATATTTTTTCCATTGATTTGTTGTTTTAGAGAGAGTAGAAGGGAGGAAGGGAGAGAGAGGGAGAGAGAGAGATGGAGAGATAGAAACATCGATGTGAGAGAGACACATTGATTAGCTGCCTCCTGCACATGCCCTGACCGGGGCAGGGATAGAACCTGCAACCCAGGCACGTGCCCTTGACTGGGAATTGAACCTGAGAGCCTCCGGTGCACAGCCCACACTCTAACCCCTGGCCACCAGCCAGGCACCTGGTGCCCTTTTCCACACCGTGGTGCCTTGCAGAGGCCCCTCTTCCAGTGGTGCGGGGGGCCCGCAGGCAGTCTCGACTCTGTGAGGAAGCCCATGAGCAGCCAGCGCTGAGAAGCACAGGTGTCAGGAGGGAAAATCGGCGAGTAGCTGCTGGTTTTGAACAAAGGCGATGGACGTGAACGGGTGTCCATGTCAGTGACGCCCCTGCATCTATCACCAAAGTTAACATGACAGGCAGTCAACCCTGTCAGTACTTCATACCCACTTGTCAATGGAATGACCACAGACTGTGCCCAGGCACCAGACAGGAGAATATACCCGCCCGGGAGAGAATCTACAACCCAGCCACAGGGACAGGAAGAGATTCATTTCAACCAAGGAGTCAAGGAAACTGGCTTCAACCCAAGTGGGGTGCAACATACCACCCACCTGAATCGGGTGATTAAATGCTGACAGAGATCACAATCAACACAGGGCGGGGGGTGGGTGGGGGAGAGAACAACACTGGATTTTAAAGCCAAATCCCAGTTGGAAGGCAGGAGCAGAGGGAACCCTAAGACAGGACTTAGCCAGTGCGCCTGGAGGATAAATCCTGCGGGAAGTCAGCGCTCAGTCTCCAGTCCAGGCCCAGATCTCTCACTGCTAGTGAGAATCAGAACAGTAATGGTGTTTGGCCTGAGATGTTTATTATTTTACTAGAGGCCCACTCACAAAAATGTGTGCACTCAGGGGAGTCCCTCAGCCCGGCCTATGCCCTATTGCAGTCTGGGACCCCTCGGAGGATGTCCACCTGCTGGCTTAGGCCCGCTCCCTGGGGGATCGGGCCCAAACTGGCAGTCAGACATCCCTCTGGCAGCCTGGCAGCCCTCGGGGGATGTCCACTTGCCAGCGGGGAGCAGGCCT